AAACAAGATGGAGTTTGTTTTTAAATAAAATATTTAAATGACAAGACCGTGAAGGTGCGTTGTTTCGATGGCTTCAAATTCTGCCGGGATAACAGGTGATTCCGTTGACAATGAACCGCCGAAGTGCGGCGGCTCGCTGTCAAGTGACGACCCGGCTAATCGCAGTTGAATCGCCATGGACGTGAACTGTTTTGAATGTGTTTTCTTTCTGGACTGGAGAAGCGGGGGAACCAGAACCACTCTTCTTTTGGTTCTATGGATCACGGGAGAACAAGAAACTCTACGGTTAAAGAACGACGACGTCTTGGCAGCGGAACCATCGTCAACATCGTTCATCCTAACGACAGGGACAATCGGTGAGTCGTTACTGCTTCATTGTTTGGCTGTGATTTGCCGTGTACACGTAGTTGAACTGGTTGTTGAATATCTGAGGTCAGGTTTTTATTTTATTTATTTTATCTTTTTATCGCTTGGTTATAGTGCTGAAGAAAACTTAGAAACACTGAAGTAGCTTATGGGTCGTTCGTTTGAATGGCGAACTTTGAATGGGATTATGTGGCGATTTGACCCAGAAGCACTGTCTCTGTCATTGGTGTGGAACCCCAGGGTTCACCTCCTGGGCAAGATCGAATCCCGGTCAGGGCAGCTGGTAACTTCCGGTGGCATTAAATTATTAAACAATTCAGAAAGCACAGCTGGAGTTCTGGAGAACATGTGATAACGACATTGGTTCAGTTAGTTCTACTATACGTATATGACAATAACAAATGAGTCACCAGTTGTTGATTTGATTTTTTTTATTCCTCTTTTCTTTATTTAGTCCGTGTGTGTGTGTGTGTCATCATTCCCCATCACTACGTATCACGCTGAGCATAAATGCGCGAATTTGGGATTAAATTCATTTAAATGTAGTGACCCGACACGTCCCGCTGATTGACAGCGGCTCCCTGACGTCTGTTTTTAGTAATCAAAATATCCGGTAATCGAGGGCGAGCAAACAACAACGTGCCCGCGAGTCAATGAGAACGCGCTGAGGGACGTGACATCTCGACTATCGTGATTGGTCGGTCTTGCTGAGCAGCGGAGTCAGTTTCCGGTGTAGGCGGGCCGGTGTAGGCGGGTTGTCTCTTCAGATGAATCATTGAAGCCGATGCTCCCAAAATGACAGTTGAGTTTCACATTGTTCTGTTTATAACAGCGATTTCTATCTTTGGTCTTGAGGATAAATTATTTGACATGTTGACGATAGTTCTTTTTTAAATCATTTTTAATTTGCTATTATTCATACGTGCACTAGGTGGTGCTGTGTCACTACATGAGTGCAGCAACTCAGCCACTGATTTTGTCACAGCTTTCGTTAACGGTCTCTTTTGAGCATCCTAGACGCCTTGTTTAATTAACATTTTATTTTCTTATTTGTCCGCAGTCTATTTGGGGATTATAGAAATGACTGAAGGTATCTGTGACGTAAGTACAGCCACAGCTCTCCACTTAGAGGAGAGAGACAGGTCTTTGTCTACACAGTTTATAATAATGTACTGTAATTTTTAAAATTAAAATTTGAGGGAAACAATACTGTGAATATTTTTTCAAGTATAAATCCTCTTGATATTGAGAAATCCACCCTTCGAACCTCACACTAATAATAACTACTAATTAATACCATTCAACCTAAAAGCATTCACCAAAACCTTGGTCTCCACAAGGACTTAATTAGTAAAAACATTTGTCTCCTTTATCCTTATTAATACTTAACAAACTTCTGTCATCAATGCTCGTAGTTTAGTTTTAATTTTTAAAAAATTAAGCTTTGCTGAACCTATATTTTCTTTATGGCAGAGAAAAGAAAAGTAAAAAAATAAATTACCTCAGCCAACCCTCAGTTCAGAACACAGGTTTTGTGTCGGAGATTAGGAGAAAAAGCTCAGAGACACTTCAGGATCAGGAACTGAAACTGTTGTTAGTTTCACAATGAACCAAGTGATGACAAGTTTGTCATTTATTACCAATTCTCTGCATAAGCTGATGGGTTATAAGAAGTAGACCAGGTCACACTGGGCATCTCCTCTGACCTCTGACACATAATGCTGAATACGGACAAATGAACACAAAAACAAAGAGCTAGTTTAAATGCATTTTTAATGAAACATTCTCATCTGAAGCAAAGATATATCTTAACTTTAACATTAATTCCTCTAATGATTGCAGGTACCACTTTTGTCATCTTTTGTCTCAATATCTACGGCAGATATTAAAAAATAATAATGGATTAGGTTTTTATTTTAAGATTGCTAAGAAAGAACATTGTTGATTTTAAATGTGTACAACGATCAAAACATAAATCCCTGTAAATTGTTAAATATATATCACCCAGTGTCCTGTGATTACACCTGAGGACACCTAGAGTCTGCTGTGTGCAAATGCAGAGTCATACATATAAAGCACGAGATTCTTCAAAAACCCGGTGGCTCGTTAACAGCCTCGGGCTTCGTGGCCTTTGCTACGTGGAGGGGGCAGGGGTGGGAACGGTCAGGGGGGTAACTGTTGTGCAGGGAAATAGCAAAGCTGGAGAGAGGTTTATAATGTCAGGCAGGAGCGGTGTCGTACAGAGGTAAACTTCATAAAGTGCCTAAAGAACATCACGGTAGATGAGCTTGAGGTTCTGCTAGAATGGGTTTGTACGAGGGTTTGGAGTGGCATTTGAGATCCAGGTCGTGTTTTAAAGCTGCCACCTAGGAGCCCGTGGTCAGTGTCAGTCAATGCAGTGAGGGCTGCTGCAGGCACAGCCTTCCATATCAGATTAGGCTTCTATTAATAGATGAGCCAAAAAGTGTTGATTTAAATGTAGGGGTTATTTGAGGGAGTGTAAGGATTAAAGCAGGTGGGTAAAGGGAGGGCTGGGGGTGGGGGGTCGAAGGCACAGAAATGAGGTGAGTGTGAGTGAGCAGCAGATGGGTGGTGTTATGTAAGCATATCCCAGAGGCAACAGCAACACAGCGCGGTCCAACAAGCTGTCAGGCACGTTTCTCCTGATGAGCCTTCCCTTCTCCTGTCCTCCACCACGTACACTGCAAAAACACAGCACAGACCGGAACGTCACTGTTGGGTTCTGCAACAGAACTGTGTGAAACCTCGTCGTTCAAGCGTTACCATGGCAGCTACCATTTCATCTTCCTCCTAATTATCGTAGTCAGGATGTGTATCTCCATGGTGATACGCCACACAGTCACAGAGCATCATCACATTAGACAGAGGCATCAACACTGCTAGGAGAATCAGGGGCAGATGTGAGGGGGGCTTTTACAGCCACACACCTCACCGGCCCATCAAGGCTTTTTACCCGACCTCAGGGGAGAGGGGCAGATGTGAGGGGGGCTTTTACAACCACACACCTCAGGGGAGAAAAGACTGTGTTATTTTAACACCGTCTCACATGGAGTCACTGGGTCACCTTCAGGGGAAGTTTTTTTTAATCTATTGCTGTCAGAAAAACAAAATTCAAACAACAGCAGTGGATGAGTTCATGTTTCCATCCCTGTGTCTGTGATTAATAATTTATGTGTAGGGCAGACGGCCATCCTGCTCCTAACAGCCAGCTACAGGTAGTCGCTGCAGAGGTGCTTGTATTACTGAGGTGACCTCCTCCAATAGTAAAGATAGACCGTATCAGGTTGAAGGTTTGAGCTCCGATTAAAAGAAAGAAGAGGATTCTGATTAGTGAGTGTTTGATATGGAACAGCTATAAAACCAGGTCAGAGAACGGCCAAGAGAGGGCGACGTGATCATAAACAGAGATGTTAAACCTCGGTGTTCTTTTTTCTACTATTATCATTATGAGAGAAGCAACGATTGCACAGAATCACTAGAGAAATAAAAGTCTTTGCAGGGATTATTTTGGATAAACAAAGGAATTAATATGATTATTTGACTTAAAGTCTCAAATACTCTCAAATACAAATATATGCAGTCCCTGAACTAGTGGTCGGAGGTTTAAGTGCAATACAAAAATGCCCCCTGCAGAGGACACGACTCTCCTCGTTCTGTAATTAGTGCAATACAAAAATGCCCCCTGCAGACGGCAGACGACGACTCTCCTCGTTCTGTAATCGCCCTGACATTTCTCAAACACCTACACAGGAAATCTGCGGAAAGCGTGTAAGTGTGGGTGGTGGAAATAACAAACTTAAAATCCACCCCACCACCACCATTTTCCAGTTTATAAACTGGGTATGACAGGGCAGGATGATGGTGATTAAAGCATCACATTAGGGTCGTCTTTCTAAACGTACTGTTGCCTTATATTATAAATAACGAGCTGAATAGTCATCAGACTGATTCTGATTAGATCCAGGCATCACTAGTTTGTACCTAAATAATTGTACTGTTATGGTAACTGTGACGACCACACGAGAAATCATCAACATCCATAGATAACGGCTGTCGGTGTTCTGACAACAATACTTTGTCAACCTCTCGTTGACGTAGAGCCGCGCTGTGTTACCTGTGTTTTTGGGAGCTTCTCCATACATAGTCCCAGGAGGTGGCCCTCCCTGCCAGCCATACTGTTGTTGTTCAGGGTACCCCTGGTAGGGAGGCATTCCTTGGACGGGATATGGACCCCCGGGTCCTGGTGGTCCAACTGGATAATTAGGGTAAGCTGGATTAGGCTGCTCCATGTTCACTGGGTAACCCTGTGGTGGGTAACCCTGTGGTGGGTACCCTTGTGGGGGTGGACCCTGGGCTGGGTAGCATGGAGCAGTGGGCCCACTGCCTGGGTATGGAGGAGGCTGCTCAAAATTCATCCTTGGTTTCAGCAATCACCTGAAAAATATTTTTTTTATTATTAGTAACTTATGGAGGGGAGGGATGTTGTAGGATGTATATGAAGCAGAATAAAAGCAAATATTGGTTTGTTCTTCTACTAATGTTTGTCAGGGTAGTCGGGGGCGCACTTAAGTCCTAATCTTGTGGGAGGAAGCTGGAAAAGCTTCGTGGAATTGGTGTCAAACCACTGTAAGGAATATAAAGACAGGACAAGGCGTGTGTTCCCTCGGAGCTCACTCAGCCTCTAGAGTCGCGTCAGGCGACACAAATTCTCCGGAGTCCCAGCATATAAGCACAACAATTCCAGTGAGGTACGAAAGTGATGCAAACCTACATAAACAGAAAGGCCGTACAGATACTGGTGTTCCCCACAGCCCCGCAGCACAGAGAAGCATCTCAGCTCATCTTCTGTGTCAATAGTCAGTCAGCTCACATGATCCCAACTAGGAGTAATCCATTTACCACAGTTCACATACTGACGCCACAAACACTGGCTTTGTCACAGTGAGAGGAGTGAAGCTAATCAAATGACCACGATGGGAACGACATGGGAGGATAGGAAGCTTCACACCGACCATGGGACCCTGGGACCCTGGGCTGTTCGCATCTTCACACTCAAAAACACACAACTGTGACATGTCAGCCTGGCAAACTCACATTGTATTTCTCTTGTACATGTTAACTACTGAAAAGATCTTTTTCTTTTCAGTAGTTAACATGTACAACAGGAATTATTGTTTTAAGCTACAACAAAAGTTTGACAAAAACTTTGAGTGTGGATAAACCTTTTTTGAAAGTGAGTCTCAAATACTGTGGATAAACCTTTTTTGAAAGTGAGTTTCAAATACATATGCAGTCAACTAGTGGTCGGTGTTTTAAATGCAACACCAAAAATGAACCAACGGCATGATTAATTACAGTGCTGTAGAATATCTCCAAGCTAACAACATGTTAGCTTTAGCTTCCTCTCTGACACAGACTGCATCTTCTCACCTTGCTCCCTCCTCTTGTACTCATTTGCCGTTTCTTTAGTTTTTAGTCTTTAGTTCTTGTTGGTCTTTCTGGCAAACCAGACAGACAGGAGCGTCTCGTCAGTTGCTTGCAGATTGACGAAATCTGAATCTGTGCGGCAGACAAGCTAATGTGCTATGACACCAGGGGTTTTTTTGTCCTTCCATTTTACAACATCAAAGGCTCCTAACAAAGTGATGTTAGAGGTATGAACAGGGTCTACCATTCATATCTGTGTGTATTTTTGATAAATCCCCATAGATATTTCTGACCCCATAACATAAAAATCACAGCAACATGTGCCAACGTGTACGTGATTCTATCGTCACGAAATGAACATGTAAGTGACTGAAGAAGAGTCCAAGTCCAGAGTGAACTTGAAGTGGGTTTATATATCGACAACAGGAAAAGCCCATGACCTGAGCTGGACCTCAGGCTGATGCTCGACTCCCCCTGACGTTTCTCTCCCTCCTCTTAGCCCACCCCCCGTTTACAAGTGACCCAAGAGACTGGAAGTAGCTGGAACTTTAGGTCAGAACTGATTACAGTATTCCAGACAGAACAAATCTTCATCCAACGCTATAAACAAGCTGCAACTTTCCTTTTTACCGACTATAGATTCCTTCTGTTCTGTTAATTAGTGGCGTCTCGTGCTGCGTTGCTGTTGTTGCGTCTGAGGGGTGTGGGCGGGAGGGAGGCAGAGCAGGGTGAGGAAGTAAGAGACAGTTTGAGAAGAGACAGGCACAAATAGGCAAACAGGCCCTAAATATAAATTTAAACACAATTTTAGTCAAAGAGTACATATATATATGTGTGTGTGTTTTTGTTGAGCACTTTTTGAATTCTGGACATCTATACTTTGTGCTGTTAATAGTCAGAGAATAAAAAACATCTACATAATTCTTACACTTATAGTAGAATAGTATATATAGTATATGCAGTACCTCTAGCCTTGTGGCTGCGGCAGTCACATCATCAACCCCACAACACCTATATTTATATCAGTACCTGTGTTTGTTATGATGCCTCTTGTTTATCTACATTTTAATTACTTTGCGACGGGGTATAAAGATGTAAAACCATCGTCTGCGGCTCCAGTTGTTAAGAGTCCTAACGATCTTATTGACCAGAGATTGATTGCCCATTGGAGTTGGAACTTTATTCTTTCTTTTTTGTCTTTGTCTTTGTCCCATGACGTCGTCATCGTTTGACGAGCTAATGGAAATTTCACCTTATCAACAACAGAAACCTGTCTTCATGAGGATTAGCGACCTCTGTGGGGCCTCCGAGGATTCTTTTGTCACATTGTATACGTAAAGTGGGGCTTCGAGATACAAGTTTAATCCGTTCCACAACAGCGCTTCTATCTCCACTGCATTTTTTTCCAATAAAAATAACTAAATACCAATTAATTCATTCCACCCCCCCAGAAATATACTATTAATTAATTAAATTAAAATTCCCCCCTAAAACGTTGATTTAAATTAAAATTCCCCCCTAAAACGTTTATATAAATATTGATAATATAAAATAATAAAAATTAAGATAACATTGTATATTGTTGTTATAAAAATGGGTAAAATAACCCATCGAGGGACCGTTAGCGCGACAGTGTGGAGTGGAAAAACAGAGCGAGGTTGAACTCTCGTAACTCATGTTTCCTCAAATCACAGGGAAAATCTTGCAATAGTTGCTTACTGTACTCCTAACTTGGAAAACCCGCCCCTCTGTATATATATATATGTACACAGTAAACATTTGACTCAGTCACCTTGTTAAACATCAGTGGCTTAACGTCCACAGATAAACTGTAGTTTTTATGAGGTCCACAGTGTGAGCGCTGCTATATTTAATCCCTCTTATTACACTCTGGTAATAAGATGTTTATAAGGGTTAAAGATTGTTTTATTTCTAAAAATACTACCAGAGATTCTACCACGATTAAATCACAATGTTTTAAAACAAGATAGTTATAAAAAAAAAAAATATGTTTGACTTTGTGGTTGGATATTTGACTATTTCAACTTCCTCCTAAAGGACAGATGGCTGGGCCAGGTCACTACAGTGACGGTGGTTACAGTGTTCCAGGCTGATCAGTCCTCTGTGGTTGTTTGTGTGGAACTTCTGGGCAGAGAGAATCAAACTGAATGATCAGAAAGGGATTTCACACAGTAAATAAAAAAAAACACCTTCCCTGACGCTGTTCTTCGTGCTACAGTCGCAGGTCATTCGTAATCGGACACCAGTCCAAACTATAGTGTGTCAAAGTTCAACATGTAAAATACCTGGCCTTTGTTGCAGGTTTCAGGTTACGTTCTAAAGAGAACATTTTTTATAGGGCAGCTGAATCTCAATCTTTTTCTTTTTTCCTCCCTCGTGCACTGAAAGATGTGACTAACCCCCGGTGTGTGTTTCCACAACAATGTGGTGATTGTATTACACACAGACACACATGGACGGTGTACCTGGGACACTTATTTGTTTTCACATAACTCCAACCCTAGTTTCCACACTGCATTAGCACTGTGTCACCACATGCTAGCAATTCTACAAGGAAAAAAACTCTACAGGGAGAATATTAACAAATGTAACCAAAGGATTAATAAATTAAAAAAGATCTCAATCTGATGTGTTCTAAAAAGCTCTACACAATAAAAGATCAGGATTAGATTAACTGTCCTTGAGTTTAAAGGATGATTGTTCAGAGTGGTTGAGTTTGGCAGTACTGTAGGTAGTACTGTACTGTAGGCAGTACTGTAGGCAGTACTGTGTACCTGTGTACCTGTGTACCCTCCATGTCACAGAGCAGCTCTGTAGCCTGGCAGCCACTGCCCTCAACACACAGACCTCATTAGGACGAGTTAGAAACGAAGCAAATTCTCTGTCTTACACACACACACACACACACACACACAGAGGTTAATGATAGGCAGACCATGTAAATCATCAACTGTGGAGTTCATCATACTTTAGTGCTCAAGCTTTAAAGCTACCCCCACCTTTAAAGCACATGAAAACACCCACACACTGAATTTTTAAAAAATGAACCTGATTAATCACAGGGTGTCTGTAAATGAATCACAATCCATCCTTTTTTATGATTCAGTGTGATTAATAATAATAATAATAATAAAGGCATTCATTAATGGATTTTTTTGAAATTATTATCAAAATGTAAAACTGTTGCTATTAATGTCCACCAGTCTGAGTGAACATGTCTCTTCCTAGAGTTGAAGTATTTCAGTGTGGACGCAGTCATTTCCCTGTATTGTATTGTATTATAATTGTATTGTATTGTAATCTGTGTATTGTGTAATCACGCCTTCATGGGTCTCGTCATCATATGGAACAGTGTAACATGGATTCATATATTGGCATCTTCTTCAGTGGTTCTTCTGCAGTGACATGGAGCAGCGTTAGTACCATATGTTACTGTAGATACTGTAGATAGATTAAGATCAAAATGTAAATATTGATTCAGTGTAACAGTACCAGTTGACTGTAACTCTTCGTACATTCAGGTCCTACGACAAAACAATATGCAGACGATTCTGAGTGTTATCGCCTGTGATTTTTTTTTACCGATTTGGATCCAGTTGTTTTTCCACAAAAACGCATTTATAAACACAGATGAGGCTGAAACCGTCACGTGACTTCAGCTCAATAAACCAGTGCCGAAACGCAGCGTTAGATTAATTAAAAAAACCAAGTGGATCGCCAGTAAACTCGGTGCAACCCACGGGCCACAGGAGAGCTTATCGGTTTTCAAGAGCCATAACTTCACGATGACAAGGCTCCGATTTTAAAACACACACACGCACACACACACAGCGGCAGACATGCGTGGACCACGTACCTTGGCGTGAACAGCGGTTCGGTGTCTCTGTGGATCTGCCGGCGGCGTCTGGTGTTACAGAGTGACTGTTCTTTCCCAACTGTTTATATCTGCACCGTAATAGTCAGCCCTGCGTTTTCACCGCCGCTGAACAAGTGCGCCTGCGGCGATGGCTGGACATCGACGTCACCGTGAGTGAAAGGCAAAGATGCGGTGAAACAAACGACCTGATTGGACGGTGAGAATCCGGACGACCAATCCCGTGTTAGAGTCATGACTAGGGGGAAACGTCAGTGGACCTCGATGACTTCAGATCACCTGACGAGATGAATTATTTAACATGCCTTTCAACACTGACGTCTTTAAGAACCACGGCAAACACGGTGACCGACTGATTTGTCATATCAGGTTCATATTCAGGGTTTAGTGATCCGGTTCACGACATTTATTGATATCGATCTCTCTCTCGCTCTCTCTCTCTACCTACGTATCTATTTATGTCTTTGTTCTTGTTGATGTGTGTGTGAGTGTGTGTGTTTGTGTAAAAACCTGTATTGTTTCTTCTAAAAAAAACGTGTTTCACGTTATTTACATGATTCGATGCTATTTCGACGTCTATTGCCTTAAGGTCAATAACCGTTATGTTGCATTACTTGGTTTTGGCCAGCAGATGTCAGTCTTATTCCAGGATGGTTTTTTTTTCATTATGATAACAGTTCAAGCTAACCCCATCAGTTATTCTTTTTTTTATTCTTTAAGAATAAAAAAAAAGTAACTATCAAAATATACCATGACATCTGAAAAATTACAAAGTATTCACCTCATGGTGTGCTAGAATAATCCTAATAATCGTCATCACTAAAATAATTTTACATTACATTTCCACCAATGTAGCAGAATAAATATAATTTCACCTAAACCCTACTCACTGTATATTTGAGATAAAGTTAAATAATAAGTTACACTAAATATTCCAGATTAACTCTCTACACGTTTGCACTGCAGACTTTGGGGGAATTTAGAGAAGTAAACACTTCGTTCTTCTGATTTCCTTTGTGAAATGAGAACCGTGGCTCAATGCCCTGTTCGCACGTGTCAAAGTTGCTGTGTCATCAAACAAGAAACACGGAAGTATTTGCAGACATGTATTAGTTTTCTGTGTGCCATTTTATAATATTAATATATTATTGTTGAATGACTTTCTTCAGGGATAGAACAGTAAGAAAACAGTACATGCAGTGTTCTACCAAAGTATTGCAGTAAAATGCAGTGGAACTGTTGGAGAGATACTTATGGAAGGTAGAACAGTGTTTCATAATAACACGACCTTTGTATAATTAATTTTGCTTTAAGCTTTTCAACGAAAAATACGCCACCTGCAATACCTTTACAAAGTCACAAGGGGTCGCCAATATTGAAAACTCTGGCTATGAAGTTACTCATAAACATGTTTTGGTTATATACGCAGCCTATACTCTCTCTCTCTCTCTCTCTGTCTCTCTCTCTCTCTCTCCGCCCCCATGAGATCATGCAGTAATGTGTGTTTTACACAGTGAGTTTGGACAAAGGGCAGACGAGTCAGAGCCAGCGTCCACCGGTGTCTCTTCAGGGACAAGAGCTTGACCTTTGACCCACACAGTGACACCTGTTTACAGCTGGGGTTTTAACCCAGTTCTTTTAGTAGTAGCAAAGTGATTCTTTGTTTATGTCTTTGTTTAGACGTAAACAAACACGTGGTTCGCCTGAACACGTGTCCCCCGTGGGTTGCTGAACTCGGCCAGGTCCAGACTTGGCTGACATGTGTTTGAGTGTCCGTTTACAGTGTTGCCGTGGCGATGCAGCCTGAGTAGAGCCCCTCAGTTTCAACAGGGACAGTAGACAGAAATAGAGTGTTATGGGCTAGCCCACCCTGAAACAAACGAGAAGGGAAGTGGGGGGGGGTGAGATATTTTGACTGTACAAAGGGCCATGGACTGGGTAACTACTGATGGGTCAACAGTGTCACTGACGCAGTACAGTTGTGAATATTCTTATGATACCGGTGTCAGACTAAAGCCACATTAATTCTATCTTTAAGTATGTAAATGAGTACGTCACTACTCTCATACATGTTTGGCATTGTTGGTGAACAATACATCCACTAGTGGGCAGCGTTGAGTTCATAATTATTGACAGACGTCAGTTTCTAGGACAGTAAACCTGGCAAAGGAATCACCAGAGAAGACTGTGGTGGTCTGTGGACGGAGGTCTCCTGCCTTGTTGTTGTTTTGTTGTTGTGTTATTCTTTTAGTGTCTTTGACAGGAAAGGCTCTTGTGTGAAAGTGATTGATTTGTCATTGCACACAACGTGTGGTGCATTAGTGGTTACTGCTCTTCACTTAAATCAAGAAGCTCACTGGTTTTATCCTGTTAGTGACTAATGATCCTGAGGTGTAGAAGGTGGTTTTTTTGTGTGTTTGAATTTTTTCTTGATTCCGTGTTTGGAGTGCGAACATATCTAGAGATTTAACAGTTTTGTGTTGTTGTGCTGCAGAGATGCATTGGTTATCAAGACAAGACGATAGAAATGTCAATCATTTTTTAATCAGATTTTCACAGAGAAGCAATGATTAAAAATGAAATGTGTTCAACATTCTGAAATGTTAAAAATGTAAAGTATAACTGAGACCCTGATAAAGTGTTCATCTTCTGTCGTTGCAGCCACTCTCCCCGACGTCAATAATCAACTGTTATGGCTTTAAAATGAAGACAAACATCAGACGCTGAGATCGATCTGTAAGTCATGGACATTTTTCCATTCTCACTGAGTTCACGTTTTTCATATTTGAAATACCTAGCTGGTCAGACATCAGCAGGTGTTCCACTCCACCCCACCCCATGTTACAGACTGGTTTCAGGATGCATATCATGTAGGCTGCAGCTGGTCTCATTCCTTAACACCAGGCTTGCTTAGTCAGCTCCCCTGTACTGCCCTCCCACCCCCCCACCCTGCCCCATACTCTGGACATCAGTGTTAGGAACAAGTGGGCATGCCTGGCCTTGACCCTGTTAATCCAGTGTAAGGCTGAATACAGGACCCCCCCTTCAGGGTCTCAGTAATGTGGTAATGCACACCATCACTCCTACTCCACTGGGTTCATCGTTGCTAATGTTTAATGTAGCAGACCTTTATCAACCTCGTGTTAGGCTGGTTTACTTTATATTTGTCCAGGATTCAGACACATCTCAGTGTAACGTTGTGGTTCCCAGAGTGGGGGTTAGTTGTGGGACACCTAGTGATGTTGTGAAGTATTTAAAAAAAAAAAAAAAGACAATGTAAAACAATGTTAGAGCTAGAACTTCATTGGTGATGCTAATGTAACTGTTTGTTTGTTTGTTCCACCCAGTGACATCAGTGAACAAGACTGTTTGATGAAGACCAACAGAAGACCTGCTTGGTTTGTTGGGCCTACAAAGAAGCGGGATTCATCCCACAGTAAGGAGTCTACTGTTGAAGTGCTAGCTTCTGATCTGGTGTCAGATGTACCTTTGGGCTACTAGGTTAGCTGCTTGGTTAGCATTAAAGGCAAAAGCAGGTGAAGACAAACAGTTGACAGTCAACATTTGAAGACTGTTCGTCTGTACCTGCTTTTACCTTTAATATCAGTAAGTCTACTGTGAGTTGGTAAGTTGTGAATTTAGTAGATAGATTAAAAAATGCTGTTTTAGCTATTAAAGAGCCAAATCAATTTTAAACATCAAAAACAAATATACAAATTATGACAATGATGAAATATTCATGACTGAAAAAAATCTTTATTTCAAATTACATGTTTACCTTTCTCATACCAAACAGTCGGGGTTCATTTTCACTGGACTCTGACCTCCTTGTAGTAGGAGCCACTTGTTATCACATCACAAAGGAAGATAACTTCTTTTATGGATGGTAAACAAAACAAAACCTGACGTCTTCAGTAAAAACTCATTTTTACATGCTTTAATGTAGTAACCCCACTGTCCCCAACTTAAAAAAGAGGCTCCATAATATTTACAAAAGATAAAAAAAGTGAAATCAAAATGGATTTTTTCCAATCCTGCTGCAGCTCCACCGACTGAGCCAGCAATTAATTACCATTTCTTTAATTAAACGTATTGTTAGGGTCAAAACACCCTACTTCTTTTTTACATTCCTCTTCCTAACCATCAAAATGTTTCATTACAAAAAAAGTGAAAAAGCTTTATGCATGTAATGCATCGTGGGTCTTTGACCTTGTTTAATGCAATGACTCTCCACAGGAGGTAAAGCAGCTCAGATGTCCATCTCAAACTGGTCGTCATCTGTTGAAGAAGAGACAGAACTCAGATCAGAGCAGGTAGTTAACGTCTCCTCCACAGACTACAGTCGACCGCAGCCCTTATCAACACATCCACAACAACAACAACAACAAAACTGTTTTGACAAACTGTTTTGACCATGTGTTTGAACGAAGATAAGAACCAAGAAATAAAATCTAAACCTTGTGTTTTTTTTTAATAATATAATATTGCCAATATTGCCTAAAGCAGTGTTGGCAAACTACAATGACAGACTTTTCTAGAAGCTCGCTGTATGTTAAGACATTGTTTAATAAAAAAAAAACACCATTTACAAACATACAGCTTCTTCTATTTAAGGTTCTGTGCTCAATGTCAAAGGTTCAGTTCAGATACTGACACAGACGAGGTATGTGCACGTAAACACATCGACCTCACATCTATAAACATTATATAACGGTGTAGTAAAATAGTTTTACTGGCGCCGTCATGACTGTACAACATCTACCAGGTTCACTTCAACTTATTCAGCCTACATCAGTTTAAATCACAACCTAAAGTTAACAACTGAATATCCAGACCAAGGGTCACCAATATGATGTACAAGTGTACAAAAACATTGTACTGTTTGAAGGTACTTTTTGAAGCAGCAATAATATTCAAATGGGTTGAACGACGATGGCAAGAGGAGCGTCTACTATTGTAAGTCCCAGAACTAATTATTATTACATTGATCATGGAAATCTGTATCAAACAAGTAGCTCTTTGTATTAGCTCTGAGGTTGGTGACCCCTGATCTAGACACACGGAGAAATAACATGTGACGGTGCATGGTGCTACCTACAGAGGGCAGGTGTGAGTTGTAACTGAAGGTTGTTTACCTGCCAGGTCCTTCTCCTCCTCCTCGGCCTCTTCTTTGAGGTCCTGCAACTTGCCAATGGAGTGTGTGGCTGGTACTGTCACCCCCGGAATCTGAGGCAGGCAGCAAGGAGGGGTCCGGGCGAGGGGGGAGTTTCGGCAATCCAGCAGAAACTTCCTGTCGTAGATGATGCGGGTACCTTTAATGCAGGGGGTGTGGGAGGGAGGCAGGGGGGGGGGAGACAAGACAACCATTAAAGACGGAAGTCCTGCTTTAAATGAAAGCAGCAGAATTCAGCGATGTTCTTTTCTAATGTTAAAGGAACAAAAAACAAATGTGGTTTTATTCACTGCTTTGATAGAATAAAAGTCACAGAACTCCACTCCACTTCTCCAAGATGGTAAGAAAAAAAAATAAAGACTTCAGTCTTTATTTTCAGACTTCCAACTGAAGTCTTTATTTTTTTTTTGTCTTGTGTTCATACTGTACAGTAAGTGTATCAGCAGCTTCACTCTCAGCTGTGCGTCACACCTGAGGTCTGTGTGGCACATGTGTCAACGTCAACATTTGGACTGCATCATAAATATCCTGCTAAGACAACAAGGGTGAGTCCAGGGGGAGTTCTGCTACTTTTATTGTTCTTCAAAGACTTTGAACCGCTATGAACAACATCACTTCACCCTCTGGACCAGGAAAACATCTTATATAAGTCCTGAGCAGAGAGTAGGTTGTCCAGGACAAAGGAAAATAAGACATGAGGCAAGAAAGGGGGGGTCTGGAATGTAGGCACTACAGACTACAGTACAGTGCTGCCAAGTGGACACACACTGCCACATTATTTGTACATATTCACACAGACAGAATCTGTCCTCAGCATTTAACTGGTCTGTGAAACAGGAGCGGTGGGCTGCACTCTACTACACCTCGAGAGCAGGCACCGCTGGGAATCAAACCAGCAGTCCTCCAAACACCAGCCAAGTTACTGGTAATACTGGTGGTTCAGTGGAGGCATTTTTTTTTTTTTTTTTTTACAAAACATTGAAAGCTAAAAAATACTCGAGGCACGTAGTTTCAAATTATATTTACATTTATACATTTAGCAGACACTTTCTGGCATCTTACAGGAGGAGAAACAACTGTCAAGTTAGTAAGACTAGTTAGTAAAATGTGACTTCTTAACTAGGGTGGATATATAAGTCCAGAGGGAGAGGGGAAGTACAGTAAAGTGCTGGGGCAGGACAGATGGGTCTTTGACTTTAACGGCAGATCTCAGTGTTGTATAACACCGTTCATATAAAGTGGAAACGATGTGTTGCAACTTTCTAGGAAGCTGCTTTTAGATTTGAAGCCAGAAGTAGAGAAAACAAAAACCCCAACACGCCCCCTGCCACTGCCCATGCGCTAGACCGTCCCTCGCCCTCCTCCCAACTTGTACAGAATGTTCTCAACTGATCCTGAAATGCAAAGCAAAGAGAGGCAGGGATAGGCTGCCCAGCAGCCCCAGCCCCGGGGACTGCTCAGTGTTGACCCAGCCTCAAGCAGCAAGTCACGGGTTAAACTTAAAGTCCGTGTTGTTAGTGTCAATAACGCATGGCAGCGTTCAAAGTTTTTAAGTTTAATAAATGTAAATAAAAGACAATATGTCAAGACAGCGAATGTTTGCTTTACATTTAGCCACATTTAACTCAACAAACAGTGATCAGTTCACAGCAAACAGTCGTCCCCGCAGAGAAAACGTTGGTTTATTCTGTTTGTTTGATGTTGTCTTTTACTGTTTAAAGCGTGTCTGTTTGTTATCGCGAGACTTTGCAGCTGCCCAGCGAGTACGCAACTAAGTCCCAGAGTTGCACGATCGGGTGTTTGTTTGCATTTCAGTGAATAACTTTAAACATTTCAGCAGCCATTTCCAATCAAACAGCCATGCAACACCATGTCAGTTTTTTTTTTTTTTGCAGCATGAATAGAGAAATAACGACGGTAAAAGTTTCATACCTCCTGGGGTGGTGGAGAACAGAGTGCCCCCGGGGGTCTGGCTGTAGCAGTCAGGGAGCTGGGACCAGTCCTTCAGGGTGAGCACCCTGGTGGGGATGGGGCAGCTTTTCACTTGCTTGGTACCAGTCGACATGCTGGTCTCTGTCAGTGTTGCCGTTGCTGTTGCTGTTGCCGAGTACTCGCTCGTTCGCTGCTTCGTACGATGGAGACGTTGTTGGGCTTTTGCATTAACCGTAAAAGTTGTTTTATTCGGTTAACCGTCGTTGCTTGGTCGTTTGTTTTTGTTTTTATGCTGACAAACAAAGTCCGAGTTTGGAGCAGTGGTCGCGGTGTGTGCGCTTGTGCAGAGCTGTGTGCAGCGACCATGTGCTGTATTTGAAGCACAGCTGCAGGAGCCACACTCGTGATGTTTTCAACTCCGACCAGGACGTGTGGGGGCGGGGGGAATTAAAGTTTGAGGTGCGAATGTTTTAGCGTACAACGCAGTCCGGGCGAGCGGCGACGGGAAAAGAGTAGAGAAGGAAAAAATGAACAATAAATGGAACTATTATTTTTATGTTTAAGAACAAAATAACACATTGAGTTTCGGTATAACATTGTTTAAACGTGTTTATAAGATTAAAATGTGTTATTTAAAGAAAAATCAGGTCAGAAACAGACTTTCTCAACAATTTATATACATCGTTAATTACATATTTTATCATATTACATATTTCTTTTAATTTAACCGTTAACATTCATAGTCCCCGCCTTTTTATCATTCTCTATTTAAATGCTAATTTTGCTAATTATTTTTGTTTAATTTTCTTACATTTTTCGCTGCAACATTTTCTATTTCCCTGGTGTGGGATCAATAGTTTAATCTACTTAACAGGTGTACTTCTAATTTTTGCCAGTCCCAACTCTACCCCCTGCTGGCGAGTTGAATGAATTACCTGCTGTCTTTTTTTTTTCTTTTCTTTTCTTTTTTTTTACATCGGTTCTACAATATAGGGGACATAATAGACAGAGCTGCAGTTGCGGCAGTGAACCTATTGTATATGTTAAGACAAAATACGCATTTTGAAACGAAATATTGAACAGTGACGTTTAGGATGGATCCTTGAGTTCGCAGGTTCTGTGAGCTGAGGATTCTTCGCTGTGTGCACTACCAGCATAAAATATATATTTCATATTGCATATAAATGTTATATATTATTTAATCCTCTTTATTATAGTGGCCTAGGCATCTTGTTTATGTTGTTGTTGCCTGCTGACCGGTCCAAGATGGCGGTCGTATTTCTTGCGCCAGAGCAGCCAATGCGGCCTCTATTGTTTATTATGTCTGTTGTGATGTTGTGGCCACGTCGATGACGTGACTACGTCAATGACGTGACTTTGACGAACACGCAACAGAAAGGTGTGTGTTCGCCTAAGGCCCTACAGGTGTCGCTGTATAGCAAGCCGTTTTAACATTCAAACGCCATTCAAAAGTTTGACCATCCGGAATTAACAGTGTTGATATCAACAACGTCTTTCCGACTGGGCGTAATTTCATTTTGGACAGTGGGAGTTGTCATTTGAGATATCTGTAACGTAATTTTGACGAGCCGAAACGACAGTTAGAGGTACAGTGTCTAGAACATAATTTCGCCTAGTCAAAACGCAGGAGGTTTGTCTGTTTGTGTGTACGTCCGGGGTATAGTGGTGATGAAGGGAGAGGGGGCACGCGGAGAAAAACGTTCTGGCTGCTGATTGGTCTAGAAATATGGACTCATAGATGACGCGTAGTTCCGGGTTTTCTATGTCTCGAGAGGAGGTAACTGTCGGTCATTCGTGAACGGCACACACGGCAGTTGACTGTGGAAGGTAAGAGCGCTACATACACACACACCGTCGACCTTGCCGTGTTCTTGGTTAATATTGTTTTCTTCATCACGACTAGCGGCATTTATTTACCAAAAGTCATTTTGTAAAATTATATATATCTTAAATGTCGGAAACGGTGGCCGCGCGGTAGCGTGGCCGCGGCTTTGTCATCACCTCACCGTTGTC